ATTTGCTCATTCGTTGTTTCCCTTCGCTTGTGTCTGCAGGAAACTCTCGTAATGCTGGGGCTTCAACTTATCCGGAGAACATGTAAGCCCGAGGGTTTAGGGTTTAGGGTTTAGGGTTTAGTGGCGCGTGGGACCTGGGATGTTTTGAGGTATTCCGTGTAGGTATATTCATTGGGTTTAGGGTTTAGGGTTTAGGGTTTGGTGTTGTTTGTGCTGTGTTTGTGCTGCAGCTGGTAAGGAACGGGCTCAACAAGCATGTAGCTAGCCAGCTAGCCAAGCAGCTAGCCATGAGGACTGCTTCCTGATTACTTTGGGGCGGTTGTACCGGCTGTTGCAGCTGCTGCTGCTACTGCTGTTGCTACTATTGTTGCTGCTGCTGCTGCTACTATTGCTGCTGCTGCTGCTGTTACTTTTGCTGCTGCTGCTGCTGTTACTGTTGCTGCTGCTGCTGCTGCTGTTACTGTTGCTGCTGCTGCTGCTACTGTTGCTTTTGCTTCTTCTTCTGCTTCTGCATGCGTGCAGCAACCTTGCGGTTTGAGTATAAGGGTGTGCCGTTAGAGTCTCACTTGATTTTATATCCTGTAAGCCCTCAACAGACAAACCCTAAACCCTAGCCGCTCACCTGCTAGTTCAGGGGTCCAGAGTAAGGGTTTGGGGCTTTAGCCTGGTGGTTTAGGGTTTAAGAATATGGGTTTGGGGTGATAGGGATTAGGGTTTAGGGTTTGGTGTTTCTTTTGTGGTTTATGTTGCTGTGCAGTTCCCCCCTGAAGACCTAACTACAGAGGTGAACAGCAGCAAAACCCTAAACCCTAAACCCTACACGTAAACCCTAGGTTGGCCGAAGCATTCAGCATGAGTTTTGGGGCTCTTTGTTTTTTCTGTCCTGGGGAGATTAGGGTTTAGGGTTTAGGGTTTAGGGTTTGTGGTTGCTTCAGGAGGTTGAAGAGGTTCTGAATAACATTGAGCGGCAGCTAAACGAATTCGTTGCCAAGGACCCCTATGAAAGAAGCAGTGCGTATTTCTGCGTGTATATTGCTTCTAGGGTTTAGGGTTTAGGGTTTAGGGTTTTTCAGGGTTTGGAGGTTCCAGGGTTAAGTTTAGGGTTGAGGCTCTCATATTTAGACCTCCCTAGGGTTTCTGTTCTTTTGGGGTTTTAAAGGGTGTTAGGGTTTTCTAGGGTTTAGGATAATGAAGGGTTTAGGGTTTAGGGTTTTCTGAGGGTTTTGAGGGTTTCGGTGTTTGCAGGGTCGGCCTTCAGTGTTTTTGGCCCGCGCGGTTCTTGCGACCGGATTGATATTTCTCAGGATAAGCGTCAGGTGGAGAAGGGGCTGTACACCCTAAACCCTCGACCCTAAACCCTAAACCCTAAACCCTAAACCCTTATCAAGAGTCGGGTTCTTTGCTTCTCACCAGCTTTTTCAGGTTGTCTACTCCGCTTGTTTGGCGGCCTTCAAGCTAGCCAGCTAAAGTGCGCGGCAACGAAGGTTTCAGCGCTTCTTCCTAGCTAGCTAGCTAGCTAGCTAGCTAGCTAGCTAGCTATCCTGTTTATCTAGCGAACGAACCAGCAAGCAAGCTAGCTAGTTGATTGGCTAGCCGTCTAGCTATCTAGCTATCTAGCTAGCTAGCTAGCTAGCTAGATGGCTAGCTAGCATGCGGCGCATTGGGGTTTCAACTCTTTTAGCCCCAAATGAAATTCAAATATGTGCATGTGGCACAGTTCGTTGTGCGCGGATATTGTCAGGTGTACGTACACCGCAGATGCGCTTTGCCACAGAACCCAACAAAACAAAAGTTTACAGCTCAGCTGTTCCAGGAACCTTGCGGTTCTTGTTGCTGCCTCGCCACTTGCTGCTGCTGCTGCTGCTGCTGCTCTGCGGGCCTCTTGCTTCTGCTGGTGCTGCTGCTGCACCGCTCTTCTTTGCTGTATTCCCCTTCGGGGCGTGCTGCTGCTTCTGTGGCTGCTGCTGCTGGTTACCCCGGGCCCTAACCTGAGGACGCTGCTGTTGCTGCTTCTGCTGCTGACCTGCTGCTGCTGCTGCTGCTGCTGCTGCTGCTGGCTGACGCTTCTTGAACGTGAAGGGGTTGAACCTGAGAGACAACGCAGAAACCCTTGACTCCCAATCTAGGGTTTAGGGTTTCAAAAGGGTTTAGGGTTTAGGGTTTAGGGTTTAGGGTTTACGGCTTGTTTTGCTTACTTGGGCCTCTTGGTGTGCTGCTCTCTGTCACTGTCTGACTCTTCTGCTTCGGTCGCTCTGCTGCTGCTTTCTCTGTCTCGCTTTCTGCTGCTGCTGCTGCTGCTGCTGCTGCTGCTGTGCTCTTCGTCTTCTTCTTCTGAGGCATCTGTAGATGCGTCTGCTTTGTCCGTTGCTGCTGCTGCTGCTGCTCCTTTTGCTGCTGCTGCTGCCTTGGCAGTACCCTTCGGCTGCAGCAGCTCCAGCAGCTTCTGTCGCTCCTCCCTGCACAGCCACCAACAGCTCGCACGCATGCAAGTTCTGTTGCTGCAGCAGCTTCTGTTGCTGCTGCTGCCATTGCTGCTGCTGCTGCTGCTCTTGCTGCTGCTGCTGCTGCTGCTGCAGTGTGTTCTGAATGGAGCTGCGCGTTCAAAACTATCCCACTGCTTGCTGAGCTCTATTCAATTGTGAAACCCTAAACCCTAAACCCTAAACCCTAAACCCTAGATTCTCACTCCCTCTTTGCTTTAAGGAGCTGTTCTTTCTTCTTGAGGATCTTCAACTCCTCAGGCGTCTTCGAAATATGCTTATGATACAACACTGCAGCAGCAGCAGCAGCAGCAGCAGCAGTAGCAGCAGCAGCAGCAGATGCAGCAGCAACGCATGCAGCAGCAGCAGATGCGCCAGGAGCAGCCCGTCTATCTCTATGTGGCGTGCAGCAACTGAGAGGGAAATGTTAGGGTTTTATGGTTTAGGGTTTTAGGTTGTGGGTGCTTAGGGATTAGGGGTTTAGGGTTTTAGGGTTTAGGGTTTTAGGGTTTAGGGTTTAGGGTTTAGGGTTTACCTTCGCCAGTGCAGACATCATTTTCAATCTTAATGAGCAGCAAGTCGAGTCGGGGGCCGATCTCTCTCAGTTGCACCGCCATAGACAGCTCCTGCTGCTGCTGCTGCTCCTGCTGCTGCTGCTGCTGCTGCTGCTGCTGCTGCTGCTGCTTGCTCGGCAGTATTACCTGCAAATTGCTGCCCTTTGATATGCGAGAGGGGCCAGTTGCTGCACCAAATACGACGCGTTGGCTTTGCTGCTGCTGCTGCTGCTGCTGCTGCTGCTGCTGCTGCTGTTGCGGCTGCTGCTGCTGCTGCTCTGCTGCCAGCAGCAAATCGCATGCATCTGCCTGCTTGTGCTGCAGCTGCTGCAGCAGCTGCTTCTGAGCAGCACCACCAGATGAAGCCTTGAGGAGGCTCTCTACCCCCGTTGTAATATCTGCTGCCTTTAAGGAAACAGTATAATGCCGAAACTGATAGCGAACGCCTTCGCTGCTGCTGCTGCTGCTGCTGCTGCTGTTGCTGCTGCTGCTGCTGCTGCTGCTGCTGCTGTTGGCCTCTTGCTCAGAGACAGAACGGAAAAATGCAACGCGACGAAAGTCGTTCAGCTGAGCGCACAAACCCTAAACCCTAAACCCTAAACCCTAAACCCTAAACCCTAGACGCAAGCATCCGCAAATGCCGATTCAAAACCATCAAGTGTTCGTCTTTGTTAGGGTTTACGGGTTATTAGGGTTTATACGGGGGGAGTCATAGGGCTGCGGGTTTATGCAGGGTGCTGCTTCTCCTAGGGTTTAGGGTTTATAAGGGTTTATTAGGGTTTATTAGGGTTTAGTGGGGTTTAGTAGGGTTTAGGACCCTGGCTGTTCGGAGGTCTACGGGGGAGAAGAGCGAGCGCAGCATGGAGGTCGTTAGCTGCAGCGCCTGCAGCCTCCCCAAACCCTCAGCACCCTTGCTGCCACTGCTGCTGCTGCTGCTGCTGCTGCTGCTGCTGCTGCTGCTGCTGCTGCTTAAGACAAGGAGAGGGGGCT